CCGAAGCAGCGGCAGCAGCAGCAGCAGCAGCGGCAGCAGCAGCAGCAGCGAGCGTCTCCAGCAAGAACTGCTGCTAGGCTTGCGCTTTACAGACAGCCAAGAAGGACACGGGTACGACAAAGTGTTTTAATTCATGTCATTTATTTTCAATTAATTAATCAATTAACTAGAATTATTATTTATTTATTTATTTACTTATTTATTTATTTATTTTATTTATTTATTTATTTGTTCAGGGCCTTATGGGCGGTGGAGACTCGGACAAAGAAATTGAGGAGGAATTGTCCATAAAGGGCGGCTTAGGGGTAATTTGAAGAAATGTTTATTTTTATATTTTTAATTTTTAAAAATTATTTATTTATTTATTTATTTTTGTTTTTTAATCTGTTTGTCTCTATCAATTTTTATTTAATTGCCAATATAGTTCCTGTTTGATCATTGCCGTTCGTTACTCATTTATTCGCCTATTTAGGGTTTAGGGTTTAGGGTTTAGGGTTTACACAAACTTGGCAGTCAATTTGTTTGTTTAGAATTTGTTTACTATTAATTTATTATTTGTTTATGAAACATAAATTGCACTTTTTATTTTTAAATTTGTTAACTTTTTTATTTTCCGAGCTCTTGTTTGGCCCTCTAGCTAACAATTAAACACTTCAACCAATTAATTTATCTGATCATTTTATTATTTATTATTAATTGATTCATTTATTTATTTATTTATTTATTATTAGTTTATTTATTTATTTATGTATTTATTTATTTGTTTACTTATTAGACTTTCAAAAACATGGCCGCTTTAACTGCTGCTGGGGAATTGGCCACTTGGACTGGCTTTGGCTGGAAAATAAGAAGAGGAGTTTCTTTGGCTCGAATTACTTACGACAAAGTGAGTCATTTAAACCCTTTTTTGGCCCTTTGGGGGCCCCCTGGGGGCCCCTTAGGGGCCCTTTAGGGGCCCCATTGGGGCCCCCAGGGGGCCCCATTTTGGGCTTTTTACCCAAATTAAGCACTTCATTGGTCTTTTTCGCGGATTGCTTGAATTTGAGTTGTTTGCTTCTTTTTCGAAACTTTTGTTGATTTTTTCATCATTTTTGTTTTTAATTTCATTAAAATTGCTTTAATTTCATTGCAATTGTTTTAATTTCATTGTAATTGTGTTGGTTTCATTATAATTGTTTTATTTTATTTGATTTGGTGGATTTAGTGTTTTTAATAATTTTTTGGCGAAGTTTGGACGGTCTTTGGAGTTTTCAATTCCTTTTCTTTAATGCCATTAACTCTTCATTTTATTTTATTTTTTATTTATTTATTTTATCTCATTTTGCTTTTCGTTTATTTTATTTTTATTTTTTATATGTTTTATTTTGTTTTTAGGATGTGC